CCCCCCATGCTGCTTTAAGGACTTACCTTAAATGATGCCTCTTGAACCGATCATCTTCTTCTTTACCGTAGTCTTCAGGTGTACCTCCAGCGCTGATGCCGATCTCTTATCCAGCGCTGACTGCTGTGTCTCCTGTGTCCCATGGAGTCTGTGTGGGTGCATGCTGCCGGGCTGTGTGCATTGACTTACCTTGTGTCTCTCCACTTCTCCCGGCTGAAGATCTGAACTGCGTGTGTGCCTGCCCCATGATCCTTTGCCGCCGCCCGAGAATCTTCAGATCTTTGGACGAGAGCTTTTTAAAAAATGTTTTTGCATATATCTACTGCTTTGATAGTAGTAGATATATGCAAAAACATACAAAGCTTTAATGATCCTTTACCTACTGTACAGTTACCTACTATCATCACACCTCACATAAGGGTCACCCAGTCAGCATTCTCTACAATTCTGTTGCACTTGCACACATTCTCCTGCAGATGTCCTGATAATACTTTGGGCCTTGATCCAAGTCATCATCAAGTCAAAGACCAGTCTTTTGGACTCCTAAGAGTTGGGCAGAGTAGTGAATAGGTGTGACTCTCGCCAGTACAATGGATTTGTGAAACTGAGAGTTTCCATTTGCCTGAGATTTTGGTAAAGACCTTTTTTTTGCCAAAAAAAACCCCCCATTATTAACCTCGTTATTTTATGTTTTTTATTTCACAGAAAGAAAAAAGTACGCAAGTAATGGGACACAAACAACTAAAATGAACTGCTGGGTTTTATATCTGTTCTAATCTAAAACTAAAAGGTTTTGGGCATACATACTGGAAGTGTTAATTGCCAAGTCAGTAAACAATGTATAACACACAGTTAAAATGTCCTTATATTGGATGACTACAAGCCAAGACTGATAGTACAGAACTTATGTTCCAGTAATTGGCACATGTATGGGAAAAATAATATTTGCAAAATTGAAAGTGTCCAGTTCCCTGAAATTTTGCCAAAATTGGGAGATTCAGTAAAACCTGTTCTTGTGCCAAACAAAACCCAAAGTTTCAATTTTTTATGTTTTTATTTCACAGAAAGAAAAAAAATACACGTATAATAATCAAAGAAAAAAATACTGAATTAAATAAACGAAACAGTTCTAACCCCCCCCACTCCAAAAAAAAAACACCCTCTAACAAAAGTTAAAAAAGAGTAAAAGAAGTGTAGATTTTTTTAAAAAGCAGTCTTAACATCAGTGAGCAAAACTGAGAGTGTCTGCTGTGATGAAATTTTGCCAGACACCAAAATCAACTTAGCAGATTATTCCACTTGTGCCTAATCAGCACTGCATGGTGCCATGGCTGGTGCTTTGTTCCAGAGCCTGCCCCATTGATTTAAACAGATACTCAGAAAAGATAGATGTTACCCCCATAAACACTCTAGTGTTC